CAGCTTAAAGGCCCCCAGCAAATGCATCCATCTGCAATGAATTTAGACACTGCTTTTTGCTAAGGTTGGAAACAGAGGACACACTTCCCTGCTGTGACTCCATGCAACAAACACTCAGCCCACCAGGCAAAGCCCCTTCTCACTGTCTCTCTCACCTTTCCCAGCTCCAAGCTGCTCTCACACCTTGGTAACATCAGGAATATGGTTCCTGAGGCCTTTTATTTGACTTACAGAGACTGTAAGGAACCCTCTGTCTCTCCATTTTTACTCATTTGTTTTCACCCCATACCACACTGGCTTACACCTTTTGGCATTTGTATGATAAAATGGATAGCCCTTTTAACCTGTTTGTTTTGCTGATTTGGCACACCTGACCCAGCCAAAATGCTTTAGGACACCACAATTACAGGAAAAAGGAATATGGGACAAACTGTTCTTATCGCAATAAAAACCACACATAGAGTTACCTTTCCTAACAACCTAGGAAATCAAACTGCCACTACAAATTTGCATATGCTATGAAAATTGGGAGGCTGGTAAGTGACAAGAGGCAACCCTCAGAAAGTAGGACCTACTTGTTAAATACAGCCAAAAGTAAAAAAAAACAAGAAAAAAAAAAAGAAATCCAGGGTGACCATAACAGCATACATAACAGCAGGCCATGCTCGAGGATAGATGAGGCTGTCACAACACAGACCAGCACAAGGCTGTGCCAGAGAGGAAAACAGTCTATTATTACAGAAATGTGAGACAGAATTGCAAAAACACAATTGACTTTTTCGATGGGGCATGAGAGGGTGACATGTCCGGGCCAGGGCTGAGCTGACAGCTGCTGCTGGCTGAACAAGCTTGGTGGGAAGGTGAGCAGTCATGTGTAACTGCGCAAACTGTGCTGGCTCCACACGCAGGATGAGTCACATTTGCACGGCAACACAGCCCCTCTGTGCTCCTGACACACCACCTGCAGTCGCTGGGAAAGGAGGCAAACTCAGACACGAGAAAGGTGGAGGTTTACAGCAGTTAACTGAATCTACTGAAATATTTGGCCAAGAATGAGAACAGTTTTCCCAACACTGGAAATCCTTACAGCGAGGCAACACCGTGTTTTTACTAGAGGCTGTCCTCGTTTCCCATAGAGAATTCAAGAAAAACTTTTTGCCCAAGTTACACTGCCATGATCCCTTCTGACATTTAGAGAAATCTCTCACCTACATCAAGAAATAAGAGATATCTGCACAGTGTTTATATTGCCAGAAATATTACTGCCAGATTTACTGGGATTAAATATGGAATTTTGTCTGCTGCCCTAACATTACAAATCCTTTCTGATATCAGTGATACTTTTTTGGGGTAAAATAGGTGTCATGGAAGACTACTCAGATAATGCCACAAATCTCAGCATTACTTAAGCCACAGCTTATTGATAAGTTGAGGTCAAAGATTTGTGTCAAATCACTTAAATTATGAAAGCATATACAAAATAGAAAGAGAGAGTCTATAAGCTGAAAAGATGCAACAAAATGATCACAAGTAATAATCCAGAGTCAGTGCTCCTGCTAAAAGTCAATTGCAGAGTTGAGAAATTACATTTCTTTTCTACATGATTTCCAATGTTGGTTTTTTTTCTAATTCAATTGAAAGGAAACTGTGATACTCTAACATTTCCCAGGAAAGAAAAAAAACATTAAAATTGCATGTTTTATAAGTTCAAAGTTGAGCCCATACAAATTATTGTGCTCGAGAAACATGTCCAGTTACAACTCGGTTCCTTGCAAATATATTTTTGCTTGATTGAGGTTTATGAGAGAACCAGTGGTAGGCCAAGATGACAAACATATTTGAAAGGTGCTTGCGCTTGTCACTGAAGGAACAGTTTCTTAGAACACAGACAGTTACGCACTCAGATGACATGCTTTTAGCTTGTTAATATACATAAACAAACAAATAAATAAATGAATAGCAACAATTCTTAATTTTCAAAAGTGTTGTGCTTTCAGCTATCTCAGTCTCTTTATTCAAGCACAATTTCTACCTTGCTTAATAAAATTAGTGTTTGCACAGACAGAGGAACTGACAGTGCTTCAAATATGTAGCTTTATATGTAGTAGGGTAACTCTCCTCTGCAGTGACTGTAATATTTATAGCATTATTATGGAGAGCTCTATTGAGGAGTGAATAGCATTTCTGTATGAGAAGAAGATATGTACTAATAAATAAATTATATAGATATGAGATATTACACCCAGAGACTGATCCATAATATCAATTGTGCCTTTTTTTGAAGTGATCTCTCCAAACCCAGTGATTACAGACAGGGAGCTGCTGTTGCATTATTCTAAAAGTGCAAGTACCTTGAAGCATGTATTCATCTTTTAATACAAGTTTTATCACACAGAAGCTTCCATTAAATCTTGAAAATTTAAGCAAGCAAAGGTGGTTTGCAATGATAGAAGATGACTACTTCCTTCAAAGGACACCACTACTCTAATCTTCATATTGAAAGAACAAACAAAAATGCTTAAATATACTTTGAGGCTAATAAGCCACAACGCGGCTAAGGGTGGAATTAAAAGGTTTACCACCCACAACTACCTTCTCCAGAAATCCCTTGCATGGGGAATACAGTGAATATGACAAACTTTTGTCAAAACCAAATTAGCCAGACTGTTTTGTTACATCTTGCATAGAAAGGAAAAAATTACAGACCAGAGTAAACACTGGCTTGAATAGACAAAACACATTTTTGAGTATTTCAGGACTGCAGGTGTATTCATCTTTCAGGCTGGGGACTCATTTTGTGTGCACGAACCAATAAACTGAGTACACTGTGTCCATGCTAAAGTGGGAGAAGGTGCTGCTTATAGTTACTATAAATCACTGTCTTCTGCTCCAGCAAATTGCCAGTTCTCCAGCAGTGTGCTCACCCAAGTCCTGGGCTCCTTGGGAAAGCACAGGGTTGCTAAGCAGCTCCAGGCATCTGCAGGTGATGCTTTGTGGGAATACCAACACTGAAGAACAATAACTCCAAAAGCAGGAAGCCGTATAATGAAGCCTCTAATTTAACTTCACGTTTTATTAGGGAAGCTTCCTTCAGTAGTACCAGAATTAACTTAAGTGTGTAGCAAGACAACCTCTTGCTGAGATTTCAGGGCAAATCTGCTGCTACTGACTGCCAGCTCCTAATGAGTGCCCCACCACCAAACTGAATCACCCTTGTCGTGTACCAGGCACATAACTGATCAGCCTGTAAAATGTGTCATTGTCTTTTCTTTTTTCCCAGAGGATTCTAGGGAAGCTACCATGCTGGCACCTATTATGCAGAGTGTCATGCTGAAATTACAATCAGGATCTGTCTGCTTCATTTGCTGCCATTGTGGAGAGAATTCCCCACCCCTCACTCTCATCTGTACAAATCAGGCATGATAATCACTGCTTTAAAAAAATACGAATTGCAATGATTTCTAGAGTTAATGCAGTTTTCACTATTATAATGACCATAGAAAACATTGCAAAGACAGAACACTTCCCCAAACCTACCTTTTCCTTCTAAGAGCAAAAGACACAGCAGTCTTTAAGAGCTACTCTTTCAACCTCCTGGTGCCACGAGTGACTGATTTAGGAAAAAGACTTTCATCCAGACCACTCTGAGGTGCTCAGTAACAATTATTTAATACTACTGCCATAAGCACCTGCCACCAATACATTACAGATTATACATTGCAAGTATAACCTTGATTTTAACCACAGTTCTCAAAGAGCAGCACAGCCACCTCCAGCTCCTTAAGAGCAGACTGAAATACAGCAGCAGCCTAGCTCTAAGTGAGGTTTGGCCACTTAATTACTTCATTTAAAACACTATAAATGCTGTTTTAACTTACAGTGAACTGCAGACCTCACTGTAATTATAAATAAAGGGAAATAAGGTCTCAAACCACTACTTACCCTCCTTTGAGCCAGGGTGGTTTTGATGGATCAGCCACATCTTGGCCCTTAAAGAGAGGAAGGGAAAAGAGCAACATGAAATTAGTTTCCAAAAACACCAGAAAATACCAGAAAAAAGTATTTGGATTGTATTCTGAGGAAAGGGTAACAGACATCACTGCATGCTGGCAAATGCATACATGAACTCATTAAAGCACCTCCAGTGACCAAGATGCCAGGATAAGTCATACAGACACAGACAGGCTATGCAATTTCATTGAACGCCTAGGACTGGAACCTGAAGAGCCTGTTCAGTGCACCTCCTCACTCAAAAGGCATTCTCGAAGACCAACTTTTCATTTTTTTCCAACCCAAACCAACATGAGTTATTGGAGAGCTCCTATTACTACAGGTCACCACTCAATCTGAATGTGGTCATAATGATGATGTTATAAATTAAAAGCACTTGTATGAAATGCACAAATGACAGACCAGACCAACATGAACCTTGGTACAAACACTTGCGAGCTTTGCTCATCCTCAAATGTGAGGACTCTTTAGTCCCCTAAGCAGAGAGGTCCCGTTGCAGCTCCACCCATTCATATCAAAGTATTTAATTTCTAACAGGTGTGAAACAAGAGCCAGTACTTGCAAGATGACTGCAGGTGAACTGGGATCTCACAGTCTGATGGAAAACACCACAGACAGCCAATACGAAGATTCATATTTATGAATTCAAATCATGTTCTCGTGCTCATATCAGGATCGTACTTATAGAGTGATATTATGTTTCTTTGAAAATCTTCAGTGGACTCATTAAAAGTGGTAATAAATAAACACCTGCAATGTACCTGGCGGAAAAAAAAGGTTCTGAATAAGGAGAAAATGGTTACCTGAAAATGAAAACCTCTTTGTTCCAGCTACAGGTCATACATTCTCTTGCCCTCCCTGAAAGAAATGCTGGTTTCAAACAGGACTAAGACACACTGCTAATAGCTAACACTCCAAACTCAGATAATCACGTCTGCCAAGAGCATAAGGAGGCTACAACTTGACACAGTGGAAAACAAAAGTATTTCCAGCCATGGGACTCACAACCTGAGAATCAACAAGGTAAAGGAGTACAAGTCAGGAAAAAAGATCCAATTTTATGAAAGATAAAAGCGATTTTTTGGGGGGATGTGTTCTCTTTTTTGTTTTTTTTTTGTCCTGTGCTTTGGGTAAGCTGTGCATCTTCAGATCGTTCACAGGTGACAGACAAGGTCTCCCAAGAAGAGCAGAAGTAACCAAGGACAATAAGTCTCTATCTGAGGTCTCAGCTTGAACAGAAGCATAAGGCCAAACTTTGTATCTGTGAGTCCAACAACTCCAGGGACAGGCAGATTTAAAGACTACATAATTTTTATTATTTTACGTTTAAACAGACTGAACAAGATGACATTATCCATAATGGAATGGACACTCCATTGTATAAACAATGGAACAGGCATTTCTACATGATCAGACAGGCCTGCAGAGCAGGCCTAGACCCACAGTCCAGCACAGTGCATGTTTCCCCACAACCAGAGCAACACATCAGGCCCCAGGGTCCCGAGGGACAGATTGTGCTCTACATGTCGCTGCTCCAAGCTGTGCTTCCAAAACCCCTCAGCCTGAAACCTGCATTTCCTCTGGAGGGATCTAAACCAACTGCTGGTCAAGAGAGAAGATTCCATGAAGCAAATGCAATCACATCCTTCTGAGCACACAGGGGAAGACATCTCTACCTTTGCTTTTGAACTCTTGGAAGAGTTGTGGCTAGGAAGCAATATTAAATGGGACAAAGGTTTTATAATGGACTGAGTTTGACGTCAGATGGTTCAGCTGAGATGAATGACAGAGAATGACAAACAAAGGTGGCAACACTTATTGGCAAAAGGAATTAGTTTAACAAACAAGTTTTCAATCATTTTACCTGAGAAACTCTAAATAAAAGGAGTGATATTTGAGACATTGAAAGACCACAAAACAGCTTATTCACTGCAGCCTGTAGACCAGGGGAAAAAAGATCCAGGGAAAGCTGTTAACTTGCTGAGCAATAACCATTTCTTACAGCCAATCATGAGTCAACAGATAACACCCAGGAATATGGATGCAGGGAGGGCAGAAAGTGCAGTTAGGAAACAAACCTCCATCGTTTCCCAGATTTGAAACATGCCAAGTAAAAAGTGCCAAGAGTTCCAGATAAATTATACTTTTGCTCATCTATTTTAATTACTTTTACCAAGCCTTTTAGTCATGCAAATAACAAGAAAACAAGAGAAAGAGCATCTCTTGGGTCAAGATTCAAAGTCATCTGGGTACAACAGCACAAAACAAAAGAGCCTCCAGCAAGTGACAATATTGATGCAGGGCCAAGGCAGGTGATGGATGTGTAGAGAAACAGGAGTTATCACCTACTGAAAGCAATGTAAAGAGGTAATTCGCTCCAGGCAGCCTTCTCCCTGAGAAAATGCCAAGAGAATCAGCCCCTGACATCCATCAAACAGAGACTGATGCCTTGAGACTGTAGAAGAGGCAATGCAGTATCCACAGTTAAGGTGTGTGTGGGGAGGAAAGACGCGTGATCCGGATTAATGTAGGATCATTATTGGCTTCAACAGCTTGAAAGGCTTCTGAGCAAACATGAAGAAAAGAATTAACATGGAGGTAAGTGAAAAACAGAAAAAAATGTAACAGAGGTGCACCAATTTTGAAAACATTTTGGTTTTGTTTCACAAAGCAACTATTTTTTCTTTATACTGTAAAATGAATGATAAGCTGAATTTTCATTTCAATAAAAAACTTTTGATGCAATGCCATGTGACGTTAATAAGGCCGGATAAGCTGAGGAGGAGGAAGGAGCTTTAAGGTGGATAAACAACTAACTGTAACTGAGCCAGCCATGGACAACGCAGTAAGGAAGCTAGTGGGAGTAAGCAGGATCTGCTGATAAAATCTGGAAATGACAAACACAGGGGAATTATTGATACTGAACACATATGTCCAGTGGAAAGAACTGATGGCAGTAAAGACTGCAACAGTGGAGGATTAAGCATGGAACAAACGGCAAGGTCAAAGTCCCAAAGCCTGCTGTGAACTTGACTGCATACAGGGTGATCCTCAGTGGAGAAAAGCACGTGACAATGGACTTGAGTCCTAGTCATCACACTGACCAAAACCCTCTATGATATGGCCATGTAAGCAGAGAGCACCATCCACAGAGTATGTTCAGTGAAATGTCTCCACAGAACTAAAAGCATAAATACCTTTGTACTGTGCTGGCAAGACTCCTTTAGCAAAGGCATATGAAACCTTTTTAGCCTATATCAAAATAAAAAGAATTCACAAAGAAAAACGGCAAAAGCAGTTTGAGGATGTAAATACAATACTATTGAAGGAGAACAAAACATCTTGCTTACTCTAGCAAAAAGAACCTTTTCCTGTGTTTGTTCAACAGGCAGGAGAATGGGAGCAGAACTGCAGCTAATCAAATACAGAGGATGAAAATTCAAAGGTGCCTCACCATGACAGTTCTGTAGCAGCCTTTCAAAAGGAGAAGCAGACACCAAACCTAACGAGTTCTAAAGAAGAAAATTAGGAGGTTTATATAAGATGTAATGACACAATATCACAGTGGCAGAGCACTGGCAGTCACCAAGAAGTCCTCTGCAGCCTCTTCTTGCACTGACATATGCAGTCAAAGAACCAGAGGCTTCATTAGCTACAAGTGCTGGGTCAAGGATCCAGACACCTCCATTAGTGTCAGTTAAACAAAGTAATCCATAGTTTGCACCACTGTTGTGGGTAGGAACTTTTCATATACTCCCTTCCATTTAAAGAAGGCAAATGGCAATGCTGATTAGATGGATTTGCTGCAGAGGAGGAGTTTCCCATCCTCCAAAGGCAGCACTCGGACCAGGAACAGCAGGGCTCCAGCAGCTGCTCTAGGACTTGCACAGCTATGGATCTGCTCGAGTTCAGCCCACAGCAGCAGCCTGACTCACTCACAGCCTGGGCAAGCAGCGGAAGCAACAGGCAGGTGAGAAGAACACTGTAACAACTGCGAGAGCTTTTAGCACTGTCCTTCCCAAAGCAAACGGGAGAGGCAAAGGGAAAATAGACACATTTAACACCCAGTCATCCACATGCTGCATGTCACAGAAAGTGTTTTGCTGGCTTATGCATCTTCTCTGCACATCTCTGTCACTTGATCTTTCCTTGAAAGCAGCCAGACCAGTCTGAATCTGAAAATATTTTCTTTTTTTAAATCTCCAGTAAGCACGTGAAGGAGCACTGAAATGCTGGAGAAGCAAACATGTAAACAAAACAGCCCATCACATCTTTATTTGATTTTTTTTTATTATTATTTCTGATGCTGCTGGATGACATTTTTACACCTACTGTCCAGCAAATACCTTCAGCTGGGGAAGTGCTTGTCACCCCTAGTACCACAGCATATTCACTCACAGTAAAGCATGCTGCAATCAGTTGCTGAAAGGTCTTCTCCAAGCAATTAAAGTTTCTTATCTACCAAAAATCAGTTAGCAAAACAATGCCAGTGACAGAGCAGCATACATTTAAGGCCCTGGATTAAACAAGGTAACAGACATGATCATCTAAAGCACAGTATTCAGTCATAGGGAAGGTAATGTTTGGTGAAGCCTAAATATGAAACTAATAGGAGTTTTGTTTTCTTAAGAAAAGCACCAACTAGGCTTACAAGTAATGTGAGAAGTTATTTAACAAAGCTGTGATTTTTAAATTTGCAAATTCTCTCATACACAAGATGATACTTTAATAGCCAGAACAATTATGTACTCCTGTAGAGGCAAAAATCCATAAAATGGACAAAGAGGCATTAAAAAATTAAAAATACAAAATCACCAAGTCTGGAGCACCATAAGAAAACAGAATAATATCCCTAGATCTGTTAGCCCTCCATACAAATCTATCTCTCCACATAAAAGACTTCCTAACAATGCAACTTTCCATCACATTTAAGTACTGTGTCTAACACATTATCCTCTCAAGATAAAAACAGATGTAAAACATGGAAAGCTGCTTTATGATGCTTTATTTAAAAAGATTAAAAAAAAATGACTTTTATTTGTTTTGAAAATCATCCTAACTTGCTTTCAAATACCATGCGTTATTATTAAATCTCAAACCCCTCAGTTTAGATATAGGTTAATCTGAATCAGGCTAAAACAAGGAGCAACTGTTTCACTGTCTAAATTAAACTTCTGGTCATGCCTAATTAGAGCATTTCGTCAGAGTCAAACTGAACCAAATTTTCCGAATTAAATGAGTCAGTCTTGTGGTTCAATGTCTTCATTGAACTCAAATATGCTGCATTTTACATGGAATCCAAAGCTGCAACAAGTCAAGGGATTATTTTAAATTCATTCTCTATTCTGCAACAGCATCAATTTAATTGAGGACTGAAGAGCCCCAAAGGAAACTCATTCCACTTGATGTATCATTCAGTACCACTTTTCTAATTGCCAGATGAGCAGTTTAAAGGAGGTTGCAGTGGTTTGCACTGAAGCCAGAGGAAGATGGAATTTAACACAAGTATTTGACACCACTTATCCCAGAGGTGAAAAATTCCTGAAAAAGCATTAATGGACAGATATTTACCAGTAAGAATGAAACAAAACTGCTGATACGTGAACCAATAAAGTTCAGAAATGCAAATTAATCAAACTCAATGGATGAGATCTGCATGGAGGCCCAAAAGCCCTGGAACGTTCAGCCTACTCCAGGAAACCGATTTAGCCTCACTCATACATCAAAGGGAGAGGGAGAAGCACAGCAGGCACTGAATCCATGCAGCATGGATTCAAGAAAATAAAACAGCTGAGGATCCAAAAGACAGTAATTTCTCTGTATGAGGTACAGTTACAAACAAAACTGTTGACAAAACACACAGCAGTCAATAAAATAATTCTGCAGATCCCGTTAGGAGGAAAGAGTCACCTGTTGCCCACAGAGTAATAAGCAGTGAGTAACCAGTCCATGAGTAGAGAAGTAATAACTGTAGGTATAAAGGGAAAAATTCTGCTCTTCCCATGTGGCACAGAGCTCTGCTCAAAGCAAAGTGAAGCCTGTAGCTACCTAAAAAGACCTAGGACCAGCAGTGAACACCTTTCAGCGTCCAGTCTTGCTTAATCTCAGTCTTATAGCCCATAGATGTACTTTTGACTGTAATTGATGTTAAGTGTATGAACCAGACAGACATGAAATGAAATAATATAACTGAAGAAAAACAAATATATACTTGGTTTAAATAAGATTCATAAAAAGGAAGACTGGAAAGGACAAGATAAACAACTTGTACTCTGCTAACACGGTGCCTGTGAACATCACACACACCCCACAGAGCACCACAGGGAGGAGGTCACTCCAAGCATTCATGTTCTCCTCTTTGTCCAAGATAATACGCACTGAACAGACTCTTAACTCATACACAGTGTTAAACAAAGCCTCTGACAACCATGACATGCTAAACTGAACCTCAGCGCCTCAGCAGGAGCAATTGGCTACATGGAGATGAGTCATGCACACACAGGGGTTTCAGAAAGAGATGCTGGTTACAAGGGACAACATGTACAACCTGGAGCTCTCCTCTACCTCCTTCTGCAAAGAAAAGAAAAAGAGAAGAAGAAGAGGAACAAAAGTTAATAGACCAGATTTCTGCCATGAGATCTGTAAAATGATTTCAGAAACTGGGGTAAAGGTTTGCCACAAGCTGATAAAACATTTGTGCAGCGAAGAGTTTTCCCATGCACTTCTTGGGACATACACCAGTCAACTAATCTCTTTCAATCAATCTCGGTTAAACTAGTCAGATTTCATCCATACCTGCACATGCATCAACACATATGCTTTTGAGAGCTCTTTTTCGAGTTACAGTTCTTGTTTTATTAACTGAAGAATTTTAAATAATCATAATACAGAATTGGAGCAGCTTATCATACAGGAAAGAAAACCTGTACTTATAGAGAGAAACAAAATTGATTCCTCCTTTCCCCCAGACTGCATCCACTGCCTGCATCTGAAGCATCCCTGCTGCTTCCCTCCTCACCCCCTGTACATTTTGCCCGGTATGAGGAAACCGGCAGCTCCCACGGAACACATTTTGCTTTTGCAAATACCGTAATGCTGAGAGATATTTTCTGGGTTTATACATCTAGGCAATTTTCCTCTGAGAAAAAAAAAAATCCAGAAGCCTCCTACACTAAATCTCATGTTTATGGATAGGTAATTTCAGGGCTAGTAAAGTTACATGAGAGTCATACTCAAAACTTCCGGTACAGACATGATATTTTTTAAGTCCGCCAATCAGATAATTCTCTCCCTGCACAGAAGAATCATATTACTCATTTGCATATGAAAGATGGAGGGTAAGGAATATCTTCATGGCAACAGGAGACACTCAAATTGGTTTAAAAGCAAAAATAGTTTTTGAAGTTACTGTCTACATGGGTATAATTACAGACATGCAATCACTAAGACAGGAAAATAGAGAAGCTATTTTAATTCAATTGCTAAGGAGAAGTCCAATTACTTTAGCAAATGAAGTGCTGGATTGTAGCTAAAATAAAACCCCTACTTTCCACCTTAAGACATGCCTGCATGGATGCTCATTAGGGAAGAAAGCCTCCGGACCACCCTGCAGGCTTCTCCTTTGGAGCTCATGGAGGAGAAATCCCAAGCAGCAGGATGCTGCTGTCTTCTACCCAACAGCCGGTGTGGCAGAAGTGCTGTGTTGTGACAGTCAGCTCGGCACAGACCTGGAGAAGCTGAGGAAATTTGGGGTCCACTCCAGACTCAGGTGGGCATATGTTTTGCTAGGCATGGACACTTCTGACTGTTTTCCTCTGAAGTAATTTTATATTTTATATATAACATCATCTTCCTGCCTGTCCTGTTCTGTTAGGGAAAACCGTCTCACCTAGACAGACACACTCCAAGTCCTCTGGTTTTGTCCTTCTTTTTGCACAGTTACCCCAAGCCCTTCCAACCCAAGCCAAATTCTCTCCTGACTTGGTCCGTGCGGTTGTTTCAGTGTGTTTCAGAGCCAGATATTCCTCATTCCTGGGTTTTTAACTCCTTTGTATTTGAACAACTAGTCCTTCCTGATGTCTCTCATGGAATCTCAGAGGGCAGAGGATGCAGAAGGCCTGGACTTGTGTCCCCTCTCAGGTCTGCCTTGGCTCTCAGTCACGTCGAGTGGGGAAACCCTGCTTTTAGCCCCTGGCTGGAAATCACTGAGGACAGATGGAGTCTCTGGCAGTGCAACAGCTCAACAGTACCAAGCTACCAGTGAGCATATGCAAGCTACACATTTTTCAAGAGCGTGTTCACTTCACTCATTTGGGGTTGATTTTCCACAGAAAATTCCTTGACACAGACTAGCACTGCCAAATTTTAAGACCTCAGGGCACTAGTGCGTCTCCAATATAGGTCACACTTATTTTTATACAAACACAAAGCAATAAATCCTACATTAGACTAATTTTTTAATTAAAAAAAATAACACAAACAAACACAACAAAACATTTTAGCTTAAATTCCATACATATCCTTGATTTCTGAGCCCCATCAATTTAAGGCGGTTAGGGACAGTTTCAGGCCAAATACAAAATTTGACAAAGCTCTGAGTAACTGCACACAAAGATCTAAAATCTTGTGTCTCGGTACAGCATGTGCACTTCATCAATGGTCACTAACTTGGTTAAACGTCTATCACAGAACTCTTTCACTATTCCACTTTTGAGCAGTCACCTTACATCTACAAAAATCTCTATTTCAGGACTTTTCATTTAAAAAAAAATCAAACTATCTTCACTTTCACTTTTTTTTTTCTTCTTTCTCAAATTCAAATTTTAAAAGCTTCCACAGATTTTCAGAGGATATTTTATTTTTTTTCTCTTTTGACTTCCAATTAAACACAACAATTATGCATCTGCCAAGTTCCAAATTCTTCCGGTAATTTGCATCTGTGTACAACTATAAATAAGTTAAACCTTTATGCCAGTGCATCATCTCTGATTCATCAAAACATGCAGATTTACCAACACCTTCAAAGTTATCATCCATTCCTTTGCTGCAAGCTGCTGCCAAACGTATTTAATTAAATACCCGGAACTGAACTTTTGAGCAGACATGAGTACCACAGTGGTTCAGGTTCAGAACCAAAAAACACAGCTGCAGAATTGGGTTTTCAGTGGACTTTACTCAGGAACTGGAAAGCCTATTAACAACAAATTACATTTTTAAAGTGAGACATAGACACCCATCTACAGCTGGGAAAAAAGGCAAACCAACAAGATTTCATTGCATTCCAAGTATGATGCTTTTTCCAAAGGAAGAAAATAAGAGCTTGGCTCAAACTTGAGTACATCAAAGCAGGACATAAAACTGCAGCTTCTCTTTCTGTAACAATGCATGCCAGAACAACGTCATTTCAGAGTCACAGAATCACAGAGCCAGAACAACACCATTTCAGAGAGTCACAAAATCACAGAATGGCCTGTGGAAGGGACCTAAAGATCATCTAGTTCCAACTCCCAAACAGCTTCCCTGCCTAGCTCTGAGGGTCTAGACTAATTTGCTTCCTGACATCTTCTCCAGGGTTTTTTCCCCAAGGTCTCTTCCTTTTCTTATCCTTTAACCAGTGTTTTCCACTACCCTTGACTCATTTGACTCCTCCCATCTCTCAGAGCACATTTCCTGCATCACGATTTCATCACACACTTATTTTTATAGCTTCAATGGCGAAATCTAATATGTAGATCCACCTTTACATGAGTGTCACACAAGCACCAACTCTTTGTCACGTCACTAGATGGTGTTCAGGAGAACTGAACCAAGGAGGCTCAGGAATGCCAATTCACCCTTGAGCCAGATTTGAGGTACTAAATCCAGCTCTGTTCCTCCTTCTCCTCCTTTACTGTTTTGGCTACTTCCCTCCTTGTGAACATGCCTGTACTGCTCAAACTCTGCTGAGATGATCAGTCTCCTCTCACATCCAGAAACAGGCTATTTCAATACTTTTGCTGTACTGTGATATATGCTAATCCAAACCCCTGGCTGTTCCTTCAGGTCCTAAAATTAGGACATATGTCCAGACTTGAGCACCACGCCAACACTACCAAAAAAAAAAAAAAAAAGCATGTCTACCAAGCCTGTCAACAAATCCCAATGTTTCCCTCACTAGCTTTATGATCAGCATAACTCAGAAGGTCATCGGTACAGAAGTCAAATACAGGTTGACAAACTGTTTGTTCACAGTGAAAGCACAGTCACTGGAAAAGCACTTGGAGTTAGATGACTCTTTCAGTCAGAAAAAGACCCCTCTGATTACTCTGACTAGCTTTCATGATTGCAGGAAGAGTGAACATAGTATTTGATGCACAGAAGTTCACAATAAGGATGTGAGGATTTCAAGCTGCAATTCAAATATCTTCCACTCTTGAAACAAAGCCTCTTCCCTTAACTGTGTAGCGATCTGGACAGAGATGACACCAAGGAAGTGTTCTCAATGCCAGGAGAGGAAGGGGGCAGATGGAGTTACATTTCAAGTTTAGGTTCTGTTTTACCAAATCAAGGCCTATCAAAACATGTCCCATCAAAAGATGCTGGTCAGCTCTATCTCCCACATGCTCAGGGATAGATTTAGCAGCACAGCTCCACCACTGTATCACCTCATATGGGCTCTTCAATATCTGTGCTGGAAGTAAGGCATGTAGTTCCACAGAAATGAACAATTTCTCATCTCGAGGACAAGTTACGGAAACAATACCAAAATACAAGTCTCAACCATTTTGTGTGTGTGTTTTGGTTTTATTTAGTTTTTATTTTTAAAGGTCTGTACTAGGGTAACACCTAGCAGTGATTAAACACTGAGAACTCCCACTTCGTGATAGAGTCACTTGAAGTCTAGATCCACTCAACTCACAAAACTGCAAATCTGGATACTTATAGCTCCAATGCACACTTTGTTATCACATGTCTTAGCTATTATATTTAACAAGAAACCAAGTCACGAATTATGATGAAAAACCTTAACACCTGCTATTTTGAAGAAGCACTGCAAATCTTCCTGTCTGAAAAAAAAAAAAAAAAAAAGAAAAAAAAAAGAGAGGTGAAGCTTGTTAACTGGCATTTTAGTGTGTTACACAATAAATTTTAGGAAGTTTTGTCAGTGGTGTTGAACAGCATATGTACTTGTCTTTGTAATAATTTGCTCACAACTTCTAATAAACTGTTCACCCACATAATGAGGTTTTGGCTGCTGGCTGCACAAATATCAGATTTTGACATCTCCTTAAAAACATTTTTTTCATTTTACCTGAATTTGTCTCCTCAGCAGAAATCCAGTTTCCTTCCTGTGCTAATTCTTTTAAGAGTCTCCTACGCATTTGTCTCTTTTCCCTCAGCACATTTTTGAAATTGTTGATGCACTTGTTCAGGTAGATGGTCTCTGCGCACACCTTGTCAAGGCTCATGGGTCTGCACTCCTTTGCTGGCTCAGGTAGGGTGTTCACATCTTCTCCAAGCTCCTCAGGAGGTAAGCATTGCCCAGTAGGGATTTCACAGTCAGATGATGGCACCAAACTGGAAACAGGAGG